TCTCTCCCTTATCCCTCACTTGACATCATTTTCATCTCTCTCTCTCTCTCTCTCTCTCTCTCTCTCGACAATACCATATATTACTAGGGAAATGGGAGAGAGAGTGAGAGTATACAGTACTGTTTGATGACAGGGTGTGTTGGCCCACACCATACATACCCCACCCGTGTATTTACCCATTGATATTGTGTTCATTTAATGGGGAGAGTGAATGAGTGTGAGTGAGAGAGAGACTCTTAGGGCAATGAAAAAACAAATAAATCTCTGAAAATAATCTTTTTTGTTTTGTTTTCTCCACTGATTTCTATCTCAATTCACTCCAACGCCTAAGATATACAACTTCGAGAGAGAGAAAGAGAGAGAGAGAGAGAGAGAGAGAGAGAGAGAGAGAGACTACAGGAAGATAAGGATGGGAGAGAGAGATGTGGCGTTCAATGGTTAGTGGGGAGAGAGAGAGAGAGAGAGAGAGAGAACAGGTATGCAAACAATTTCCCAAAACAAAAACAATGGGAGAAATGAAAATTTCAATTATAATTTTAGTATCAATGATATCATCGCTGAATCGTTTGGATAATAATCTCATCGCAAAACCAAAACACAGACAAAACTAAAAAAACAAAAGTCACAGACAAGAGAGTCGAGTGGTTATCCATTGTATGATATGCACGGAGATTATGAGAAGCATCGAGATTAAAATTAAACACATTGTGTGACCCAAATGTCTGATGGTTATATTTTTTGACTAGATTTATTATCGTATGCATTAATATTCACATATATTTTGCATAAAATATCAATTTAAATGCACCGAAATTTTTAAATATATAAATAGCATGTATCATATTTATAAAAAAAAAGTATAATATATTTCTTATATGTCCCGTAAACCAGGTAATCCTTTTAGGCATTAATATTTATCATGATTACAAAAATAAAATATATTAAAATTAATATAACAATCAAAAAGATCAATTTTAATTGAAAAAAACCATTTGAAATTCAATGGGCTTTTGGGAAATTATTAACACAAATAAATAATAAAATAAAAATAAAAACACTTATATTTTCTCAATCATTACCATTAATACCAGGTATGGGGTTATGGATTGGGTGGTAATGGGTTTGGCATGTCTTTCATACATACGGTATATATCTATACATTTTTAACACACACTCAAAATATTAAATGCATTTTAAATGAATCCGCAGAGAGAGAGAGAGAGAGAGAGAGAGAGAGAGAGAGANCATCTCTGTATAGACGGCTGAATCACAACCAATGTTTATTGAAGTCCACCGGGAATTCCGTCGGATATATTAGATGAGAGCACTGTTTGGGGCATTGCTATGAATTTATATACTTTTTGGTCATATTTGTGTGCCTTTTATAGAGCAGCCAAAACCCATTGGCGAGGAGAGAGAGAGAGAGAGAGAGAGAGATTAAAATGAGTTAAAAGATTTTCCTGATTTGTATTATATTGTAAATTATTTATGAATTTCAACGAAATCATAACGAAAAACACCCATTAATTCATTAATAAATTAAATCGTAAAATACATGCAAAATAAAAAAGTTAATTTTGCAAAAGTGGGCGTCAAATGGTATATGAATTGAATTTTATTATATTTTTTTGACTGAATTTATAATTAAAATATCAATTAGTTTTCAAATTACAAGCGTTTAGTGGTTTAGAGAGGGAGAGAGTGAGTGAGTGTGAGATAATAAGGATATAAATTACAAATAATGATTGAAATGTGTTTGAATTTGTCGGAAAAATCACGGGTTATCTCAAAATCAAATCTATTAAACATTTAAATGTATTAAATATTAAATTCAAAATCTGTGTACACTATTCAGTAATACATAGTATGAGATCATTGGGTGTGAGGACAGGGATAGGGAGGGGGAGAAAGAGAGAAAACAAATTTTTATTAAAATCAATTAATCAGTAAATAAAATCTTAATACACTTTTGGGTATTAACTATAAAAACATACAATAATTTTCTCATTGAATGGCGAGAGAGAGAGAGAGAGAGAGAGAGAGAGAGAGAGAGAGAGAGAGAGAGAGAGAGAGACTTCAAAAGAGATAACTATCGTATTTATGGTCGGGTATGGGAAGGGATGGGACGGGTATTAAGTGGAGGCGTGCGGTATCTCAATAGGATTCAAACGCAGACAATAAAGTGTTGAGACAAACAAATATTACATCAAAACAAAAACTAAATAAAATATGCCGTAAAAAAGCAAACAAAATTCAATTAACAAAACAATAATAACCGAGAGATAAAAGCAAGTCTAATAAACAACCAAAAAAGTACTTGATATTAACTAAATACAAAAAACCCACAGATATATCACACATACACACAGAGAGCGCACCTATAGACCAGCCCTACCCGGGCTAACACCTACCCCTCATAAGTGCTTAAAAGGGTTAACAAACAAACAAAAAAATATTCAATCAATTTATTTTGTACTCAAAAAAGTTGCAAAAAATTACGCTAAAAAATCGCTCGGCATTTGAGGGGTCAAAGGGGGCGAATTATAGCGGGGTGGGGGGGTGATGGGGGTATGATTATGGTAGACTACATACCGGTGTGGGTGCGTTTGTGGGCTTTGAGATGCGAGCTCTTGGTGTAAACCTTTTCGCATCCGTCGAAATCGCATTTATGCACTTTCCGTCGGCGCAAACTTTCCGTGTAGTAGTCGGCGGCCCCGCCCGAGCCCAGCGCTCCCGGAGGTGATGAGGCACTGCCGGTGTGGTTGCCGTTGTTGTTGTGGTGATGATTACCACCGGTGGACAACGTGTGCGACTGTAGGGCAGCCGATATGACGGCCGCCGCGGCCGCCGACGAGGACAGAGCGCCCGACATGAGTGAGTTGCTGGCGTTGGCCAGTGAGCCGATGCCCGCACCGCCGCCGTTGAGCATTGCGGCCGCGGCTGTTGTGGTGGCCTATAGTTAATTGGTGCAGAAAATTAAGCTAGTTAATTATTTTGGTTTTAATTAAGTGTATGAATTGTTTTAACAAGTTTATTTAATTAGTTTTTTTGTGATCATGTGAGTGACTCAGTATGCCCGGCGCCCACACGCTTATCATAGGACCTTGATTATAATTTATACCCTCGCTAAATGCAATAATTATAACACCTGTTTGCAATAAACAATTAATTATTTTTTGTTAGTGAATTAAATACACATTAAATATCAAACATTTCAACACTTGTTATCAATCAATCACTTTTGTGGACACATGCTAAATGCAATAATTATAACACCTGTTTGCAATAAACAATTAATTATTTTTTGTTAGTGAATTAAATACACATTAAATATCAAACATTTCAACACTTGTTATCAATCAATCACTTTTGTGGACACATTTGGTTTGAAATGTAATTAATATTGCATTAAATCAAAACTATTACCCAATCCTACGATATAAACGCAAAAAAAATACTGAATTAAATTTATTTAATTAGTTATAAAAAAATTAATTTAATTTATTACAAAAATAAAACATTATTTACAAAACGCTATCAAAACTAAAAACCAAAAAAACTATTAAAAACTCATAAACAAGTGCTAAATATCTGTCCATATAATGAACTAATGGGCAAAAAAAATCACCATAAATATTACAAAAAACACTAATAATGGTAAACAATATTCACACAAAAATTACATACCAGTGCCGATGAGCCGAGCAATGGTGACGTGGGGACAGCCATCGCGGGCGACATGGGGGACGTGGGTATCCGACCCCCACCTCCGGCCGCTAACAAACCATTGGCGGCCACAGCGGTGGCAATGGCCGACCCGTTGTGGTGCCGATGCAGTAAACTGGCCGCCGCTGCGGCCGCAGCAGCCGATGCCGCGGCGGCTGACGAGTGGTGATGATTATTATGATGGTTACTATTATGATGAGACTGTCGCCGGTGATGGTGACTGTCCTTATGGTGATGGTTGTGCCGGTGGCTGTTGAATAGGTGGGACTGTTGGGTGAGTCCGACACTACTTGTGTGATGGTTATGGCTATTGTTGGTGATGTTATTTTGATGATGGTTATTGTTGTTGGTGTTGTTCATGTGGCCGCTATTATGATTGTTATGGCTATTATTACGATGATTATGGTTGATGTTGTTGTGATTGTGGTTGTGTTGGTTGCGGCGATGTAAATACGCTAGTTGCGCGATCATTTCCAATTTGGATCCTGGTAAGTATCCAAAGTCTATGGTGGGTAGGGGTTGCGGTTAATAATCATGGATATCATTAATCAGTATTAGTGTTATAATTAAAGTTTAGTTTCTGGTTTTTTCTCTATGTATTTGCATTTGTGGCCCAAAAATATCAGTCATTTTTTATTGTAAATGAAATGCTTATTTGATTTCATATAAGAGTAATGCTATGCAAATGAAACATAAGTTTTTTGGGCTATAATTTAATTCGCGATTTAATAATACAAATGACTTTTATGTTTGATATATTCAGGCAACTGATGCTCTCTCTCTCTCTCTCTCTCTCTCTCTCTCTCTCCATGTTATGAATGATTATCAGTCAAAAAAAATATGAAATAATAAATCGAGGTGATTTTCACAGACCATAGGAGAGCTGCATTTACTTTGTATACACTTATTATAATAATATAATGAATTGTTTTTGAATTCAATAATGTTTTACTAATACCACAAGTCGTATGAAAAATGATCACTCGTTTGTGGCTTAACTTCGCTAATAGTGTACATTAGAGTACATTATATACAATACAAAAAACGACATTCATTAAATATATTAGGGTGTAATTTAATACCAATACACTACAGCTGAACATACTAAAGTGCCAGGGCAGTTTTAAGCTATAAGTCAAACACTATGGCCCTCTCCCCGGCCTATGTCTGTCCCGTAATAACTAATGACCAGATATTTATTTTATTTATTTATTTGATTCATGTATTTTAGATACGGGTAATTTTTTTGCTGTCCAATAAATCCCATGTTATTCCTATGGTATCCCAAATAGCAGTGAAGATAAATAACAGTTAAATTAATTTGTTTCCTAAAACTTTTACATTAATGGAAATATTTTGAAATACAAAAATCATTGCAAAACCACTCAAAAAGAAAACCAGTAATTAATAGGTAGAGAGAGAAAGATGTTTGTTAATTAAATACATTCATTAATTATAATAACTATTTTTATGCAATAATTATATGCCGAGAGAGAGAGAGAGAGATTTAATATCAAAATTAAAACCCAAAAATATATATCATTTCTATATATAAAATAATTTGTATTCAAAAGCGTTATATAAAAGGCAAACAGATATACATTTTCTTCCCATCAAAAGGTTATCACCGAAAATGAAAACCTCTTTTAAAACACATTTAAATGTCTTTTCAAAAAAAAACTATTTTAATATATAAGAGCTCTCTATATAGTGAACCCATAAGTACACTATACAATACATAACCATAATATATACATACACCAAATATACGGCATATTTCATAAGATTATACAAATTGATAGACAATATAAGTGAAATAAAATGTGCAATATAAAAAACAGTCAAATATAATAAAAATTTATTTATTAAAAAATAAATAAATCTCTGCGCGAATAGTGTACACACAAAGTGTATATTAAGTACACTATTATTATTTAGGGCATTTGCAAACCCTATTAGAAATTCAGCAAACGTTTTGTATATGTGTTATAAAATTAACCGACAAAAAATTGCTTAAATATAATAGCATTGCATTAAGGTACATCTCTCTCTCTCTCTCTCTCTCTCTCTCTCTCAAAATAAAATCAAAATTAATTCAAAAGCCTTTTAAAAAACGAGAAAAAATATATAAAATAAATAAATAAAAGATTAGACAAAAAACGGGTGAAAAGCCATTTAATTCAATGACGAGGGCTTTAAAAGAGGCAGAGATTGAATATATGGGAAATTGCATTGAATTTTAATTAAATACGGTTTAGATATATAAATATCCATATATACACGTATATATGCTGTATAAGTATAGATATATAAATCTATATAAAATATAATGTAATATATTAATAGATTGGGCCTGAGATGAGATGCGCTCAGAAGTAGCCCCCGGGGCTGTGGTGTTGGTTAGGGGTATAGATATATATAAATTAAGTGCATTTAAAGTGACATTTAAAACAACATAATAAATAATGGATTGAATAGATTGGGAACAAAACTGAATTTCCCTTTAAATGTTTGCAAAATCCCAAACACTTTGCCTTTAATTTAACGCTCAAACACCGACTCTATAGACAATAATTGTATAATAATTTAATAATTTAAATAAATTATAATAAATTCAATTATAAAACGGACAAACAGTTTAAATTTAACAAGTTTTAAAAAATCATTTATTATTGCAAGTGATTATGCTTCCCCAGTGTGTACCTGTATATAAAAATAGCACCTAGTTGACTCCAATACTGTACAGTGCAGTACAACCTTATTAACCATCATTCAATTTGGGCACTCAATTAACACAAATATAACAATAATTGCATTGATTTATAAAATACTAGGAAATGTATTATTAATACACAACAAAAAAATCATATAATAAATACTGAAACAAA